TAGTAAAGTTGAATCATCAAAGGGAGCAAATCTGGCAATTGACATTGTTTTTAAAGTATAGCCCTACCAAAACATCAATGGAGATGTGTAATATTTAATTATTTTGCAATACAATAATTATGTAATACACTTACGAATAGGAAGTTTATCTAAGACAAAGTCGACAATATCCTTGGAACCAAAATCTTTATAGTTTTTAACTTGTGTTGTTAATCCACTCGACGCCATTTTCTCCATGTCCAATGAATCCACCTCCCCGACACCAATAGTAAGGATCTTTACTCCAGATCTCTTAAGAAATTCCGTAGTTTTTAATAATTGTTGTTGATCTTTGTTTGTTTTGGCATCCGAGATGAATAGGATTGTATTCTGCACTTCGGGTCTGTCACCACGAGTTTTAACAAATACCTCCTGGCGAACAGCATTGAAAGCAATGCCCGCTTTCGCCATTTTAGATTTTAAGAGTTTTGGTGATAGCTTCCGAATCGCCCTCTGAATTTTCTTCTTTTTATCGTACGTATTGAGATAAAACTGCACAGTAGGTTTAACATTGAATGTCATTAGAGAAACTTTCACATTTTCTGATTTGATCGCCGCATTATCCAGTAGTTTTGCCAGAAATGGTAAAAATATTTTCTTTATTTCTCTATTCTTAGCTTTCAGCGAAATATGGAAAACTATTGCCAAGTCAACTGCAGCTTTATCTGAAACTATACATGAGCGTATGGTAAATTGAATCTGGTTTAACAGTCCGCTTACCTCTGAACTACACCATTTTGATACTATCAATACGTATTATAATACGTTTATGTGCACACGGGCCAGTCGACGAAATTACCCTAAAATAAGTCGTTTGGTGGTAGATGTTTGAAAACGATGGGAATAGTTGCTTAACAAGATTTCGTAAGAATCGTGGCATATTGTTTACTTGTAAAGGGCGAAACAAGAAATACAACAGAGAGCTTTAGACACGATTATACAAGCACCACTTTAGATGATTTTTGGAAGCGTCACCGATCCAACATGGATACTGAAAGTTTCTATATGTTTAGTTCATAAGTTTTATTCCTTAAATTATTTTCCCAAAGGCCCCTTCAAATGCATACAGTACCTATGTTAGAATGGGTATTAATTCCATGTACTCACTAAGAGCCGGATAAGAGTCATCTACTTCATTGGCTTCCTCGTCTAACATGTCATCTGCAAACCGTTGCACAACACAATATTATTCGATACCTTCACTTAACTATCAAATATCTATATTTAATGTTTGATTACTGTGATTTGGAATCTATACATATTTATTTCAAACATATTTTTTCTTTAAAATATGAATTCACATAACTGATTAAATAGACGTAAAACTACTTGATTTAATGCAAACACTACTCCTTGAGTCACTATGCATAGTAGAAACTGTTTGAAAGAACGGGAGAAAGATTTTTGCTGGGAAAGAAAAAAAAGACGATAGGTGTTTGGTTTGAAAGATAAAGGTAGGAAAGCAAACATAGTTCACCAGAAGAAGTCGATAGTTAAAGATGTAAAATTTCAATGATGTTCTAAACTTGTGATAAATATACCATTTACAGTAGGTAATGGGTCCTAATGTTTAATCAACAACATACAATGGAAGCTCAGTAACATATAATCCCTAGCAAAATGCACAGCTCGTGCAAATATTTCATGTATGCCAATAGTTTCACTGTGACAATAGGTTTTAAGAATTTAAGTCATATGACATTTTCTATGAAACAGCCTTTAAAAACAGAAACTATCAGAAGTCTAATACTGACAAAACATTTATACCAAATGTAAAGATATAACTTGTGCAATTGCATTCATGAAAAGTGCTGATTTTGACTCCTTCACCTGATATTTTCGGGTCATCTGTTGGTATTTTAGTCAGATACCTGGTAGTATGTGTTTCGTCATTTGATGGTTTTTCAATGGCTGTATAAAATAAAATATTTCGAAAATAAAGATTCAGATTTCGATAAATCGTATGCTTTCGTCGTTACTAATGGAGTGTGTGCATCTTAAGAAAAACAACTTACATGTCGAAATAGCTCCCCTGACGATTCGTATCAATGCAGGCGATGAAAATTCTTTATATCCAGTTATCATTGCTGCCAATCCTGGAGACGAAGCTGTTCTTAGTTCAGTACCGTCTGCATTTCCAGTGCCAATAGTGAATATCTTTATTCCAGCTTTTTTAAGTTCTTCAGCATCTTGCAGGAACATGTAATGGTCAACAGTTGTCATGGTGTCCGTTAGTAAAATAACAACATTGGGGACATCAGTTCTATCCCCAGCTTCAGGATTAAAGACTTCGGTTTTCAGAAGTTGAAGAGCTCTACTGGGATTTGCCTTGTTATTTCGAAAATCTTTCGGATTTAGTTTGGATAATGTCTGTCTCATTTTGTGTATTTTTCTAAATGAATTTAAATTAAATAATACTTGAGCATCTCGTCCATAATTAAGCAAAGCTATTCGCACGTTACCCGAATCAACGTCTGATTCTTGAAATAACTCCTTCATAAATAATACCAAATTTTGTCTAAACTCCTTAGTCTTGATACGCTGTGAGATTTGAAACACAACTGCAACATCCACCATTTCCTTAACTGTAATATAAACAAGCAAGCTGTAGACTTTGTGTGCATGTTATATTGTTGTAATTTGGTCACAAGAAGACGTGGTTGTCCAGAAAATAACTAAACAAACTGGAATATGATATTCCTATAACATCATTCTAATTCATCAATATAGCATGGCATTAAAATATCTAAAACATTATGAACAGGATTCAACGCTACATGAATTGTTTGATAGATAGGGTTGCATTCAGTCAAATTCTCGTAATGCTATGTGTCAGAACCATGTCATTGTGCGAATCGCTGTGCATACAAAACTAAAACTCACGATAAAGTATCGTGCGTGCGTTTGGACTAAGTTGTGTTAAAGCTTCAATAAAATGAAAAGATGTATAGCTCACACAAAACATTTCATTTCTTAAGGCAGCGTAACAGCAAATATAATTCGTTCGTTTGCAGTAATACAAAGTGCGTATATATATATTGTATACATGCTTCTTATAATATACCAACTTTCACGTCACAAAACAGGAAAACAAGTACGGGTATTTTCTTTGATGAATCTTAAGAAATACTAAAGTGAGTGCAGTGTGTATCTCCTTCACATGTGGTGCTTGTAAACATCATAATTACACAAGTCTTGCTGGCTACCCAATTTAGGTTATGCATCAAGATCAACGCAGAAGAACATAATTATAGAGTATCATAGGATAACACTATTCTCTAATGAGGATACAAGATTGCTTTAAAAAGTAAAAATAAAACAAGAAGATACACCCCAAACAACAATTGTCTTTTAAATACACATGCAGGTGGGTGCCCTAATTGTAAAAGAAAAGTTAATCAATCTTCTAGTATATAAACCTGAAACTGCTGGATGGGGTAGAGCTCCCATCATTGATCGAGAATTGGTCATCAAGGATCCAGGAGCCATCATCATCGCCGGAAATGAATCAAATATTTCGGTTCTTTGCACTGGAGAATGAATATTTTGTAGTGAAGTTAATTATACTAGTATGTAAGTAGATTCATCGTGCAAGAAGGAATTCAAAAAGAAAATATGTTCAAAACCCCTATAAAAGAAGCAACTCACTATAGATGTCCTCTATTTTGTCAAAAAGTAAAGAACGGTGAAACTTATGTTCTTTACTAAGCTGTTATTAGAATATATCTCGATTTTGAGAATGGACGTATTATTTCGTTTCGTGCACCCATTCGATATTTATACACTTCTAAGGTCAACAATTAAATTAGTTATTTCATTTAAATGGAACATATGTAGTTAACTTACAAGCTGGAAAATTTGCAATAACAATATCGACAATTCCTATGAGACTGAAATCTTTATAATTTCGAACGTGAGCTGTATACCCTGGAGAAGCAACTCTTTCTAGTTCAACTGTAGCAGCATCTCCAATACCGATGGTAAATATTGTCACTCCTGAACGTTTTAACTTTTCCGCAGCCTCAAACAATTCATCTTGTTTCTTTTCTGTTACAGTATCCGTAATAAACAAAATGGCATTTGGAACGTGAGGCCTATCCCCATTGGCCCCAACAAAAATCTCCTTTTCTATAACTTCTAATGCTATGTCCGCTCTGTACTGTTTGGATTTAATCGATTTAGGTGATAGTTTACGGATTGTTTTTTGTAAAATCTTTTTAGATTTCGTATTGTTTAAATAAAAGTGAATATTTGGTTTGGAATTGAAGTCAATCAAAGATACTCGAACTCTTCCAGAGTCAGTATTAGCTTCCTTCAATAAATTGGATAGAAATGGCAAGAACGATTTTCTGACATCCCTATTTCTAATTTTCTTTGATAGATGGAACACTATGACAAAATCTATATCGTCTGAAAGGCAATGATTGCTATTAATTCATGTACATTATCAAATGATATGAAAAGGGACTCAACTAAGTTCTGTAGTGTTTTACAGACCGGCGATAAATGAACCGAAAATGAAATGAAGAATTGTTGATCATTAAATATATGTTAATTTTATATTTGTGAGAACATCAACGTAAAACTTGGAGTTGAGTCCCTTCAAATGCCCAAACCCTTGACAATCTGGAACCTCTGTCTAAATAAATGAAGAACGAATACAAATTAATAGTGTTGATTAATTAAAATGAAATGTTAGAACACATAAGATTGTACATTAAAACACTCACATTCATACATACGTTAATTTGAAAGTTTAAATTTTGTTTGTGAAAGGAATAAAGAATATACAAGAGTAAGGTCTTAATTCACCACCTAGGTTTTCATTGCCCAAAGCTATCATTAATATCGTTTCGAGGGTGATAAACATAGGGTCGTGATATCGGTACGAAAAGAAATGTTAAGAAACCCCAAACACCAATATGAATATTTGTATAAAAAAAACGTGCTTTTTGACTTACCTTGCTTTCGTTCGTCAATGGTGGCTTCAATGGAAGATGCTCGTACTAAAATGAAATGAAATGAATGAGGTTTAACGTCCTACTGTTCTACTTCGACTGTGCTAATGAAGACGGGCATACGCCATACAGAGATCCAATTGCTTAAAGGTTCTTTTACGTGCACGTCAATGTGTATACAGAGATATTACGGTCTGTTCTTACATAGAATTCCAATTGCTAAAGGTTTGTTTACGTGCACGTCAATGTGTATACGGGACTTCGGTTTTTCGTCCCCTCCGAAAGGCTATAGGTTGACCTGCACCAATGGCAAGGGGAAACCACGCTGAAAAATCTGATGAACTTTTTCAGCCAACGCAGGGATCGAACACGGGACCTACAGGTTAGCGAGCCAACGTCTTACTCAATAACATATAAGCTCATTACTTGTCCATTAACAAAAACTGTGCATAGTACTTACATCCGGCTATTTGGGAAACAATATCCATACGAGCAGCTTCGAGTTCATCAAATGATGTTAAGTCATAGCCACTGTCAACCGAGGAAATGACATCTATTTCTTCGGGATGGTCTAGATTAACACCAATGCTGTATACTGTAGTTCCAGATTCTCGTAGAGCTTTGGCAGACGCTATTGTGCTTTCGACATTTTCGTTGGCTGTGGAATCAGTGATAACAACGACTGCATTTGGCACATCTGGTCGATCACCAGCACCAGGCGTTAACATCTGAGTTCTGACAGTATCAAGACCAGAGGCAGGGTTAGCTTGCCGAGATCCATAGGCCATGGGGATTTTTCCAATGCTGGTAAGCAAATCTTCCTTATTCACATATTGGTTGAGGTTAAATATAACATTGGCGTCACGTCTGTAGTAAGCAGCTCCGACACGGACATCTCCGGAATCAATATCAGCATCTTTAACTATTGATGTCATAAAAGATTTCATTTTTTCCAAATTGGTCTGAGATATTCTATTGGAGTAATGTAACAAGAAGACTAAATCTAATTCCCTGGAGGCTGAAAGGAGAAAAGTAGACATGTTTTACGACAAGAGTTTCACAAGATATCGTAGTTACAAAAAAATCTTCCTTTTCTTCAAAAGTCTCTCCTCACACTACCTGTCTCTCTTTGTGGTACCACATTGCACAAGATTGTCGAATTAGAATACGTGTTTTTGATATTCTCAGTCCCTCAGAATAAAAAAAAAGATCAAAATTATTTTAGGTAAACTGGGGGAAAGACTCTTAGTTTGACCAATTTCCATGTAAGGTCATTTATGTTTGCGCGTAGATACGTTATAGATAAATGATTAACTCAAGTCGACTCGCCATCTAATATTCATATAATTTCATTCATCATAAAATTAAGATTTGGATGATTTGATATGACATAGCTATGATGCTAATTCTCCTACCTCGTAATCTAGATGCTCCTACGTTTGAGATACCTGTAAAAATGAAAATACATGATGCTTATTTAAAGTTTAAAAGTTTTAAAATGCACTCGTTAGCTATTAATTTTTGTATCAGGGCCATATTTAAAGGTTTTTACATTTTGTTTGTTAAATCGTATTTGCCTGGCAGTAGTTAACAATTTATAATATTTGACAGACAGTAGTTGACTATTCATATTATTTGCTATAATCGTTAACTAATTATGTTAGATTACACAGCGTAAAGAGTATCAGTATATAATCGATTAATTATCTATACGCATTAGCGTTATACACAGACAATAAACGTGATCTATTGATTAACAATACTTACGTGAACAGATCTGGGAGAAAACTACATCAGCGATAAAGGGGAGATCACCATAGTTGTCCATGACGAATTTAGTATCATCAATGGGAACACTATTAACGCGATCAATCTCACTGGTATCCCGGAACCCAACACCAACAGTGAATATACTGGTACCAGCTTCACGTAACTGTCTAGCTTCCCTTATGGCATCTACTTGCCCAACAACAGAGACGCCAGTTGTTAGAATAAGAATAACATTTGGAGCATTTGGTCTGAAATAATATATTTATGTTGACATTGTAATATTTTATATAGACAATGACAATATGTGATTTACAAATGAAGCGAGCCCGTTACCTTATACGATTGAAACAAATTGTACTAATCAATAATTCAGAACGAGGTAGATTTACAAGCGCTTTGTGATATAAGCAATGCAAATAATAACAAAACCACCCGTGGGCTAGTTACTTTTGGTTATGCCGTTTTGGTCAGAATTGTCAGTCTCTATAGTGAACTTGTTTTATTGCCTAACATAATCTGGGCGGGGCTTCACTGGGAGACTCCCGTGCCAGATCAGTAAAGTACTAATATAAGAAATGTATACAAAGAGAGAAGATCTTCCCATAATCCAAATATATAAACAACCAGTACCTGTCTCCATGTTGTTCTTTAAATAAAGTACTAACTGTCTTTAACCCTTCATATAAACTCCGCTGTCCTGGACGGAATGGAGCCGCGCTAAAATGAAAAAGAAGAAAAGATACAGTTATATTTCATCGTTTAAGGTTTTTGCAATCTTCGATATATACGCAAGAATTTCATAAAATTCTGTGCAATACACAGAGTGTTCACAAGATTTTGCAAGAGTGGTCAAGGAAATAAATCTTTAAGCTATTATCAGGAATCTAACAACACGTAAAGGGATGATATATGTAGTCTATGGACGACGGACGAACATGGAGTACGACAATGTGCGACCACATTTCAGCGCAGGTTTTAATACACAGTTTAAAAATTGTCATACTGTATAATGCCTTCTGTTTTGTTTAATGAGAACTTAATTCCACTTAATTAACCATATCACGTCAGCCGAGTGTAAAATGAATTTTATGAAAATCTGTGCCATTCAATGCAAAGTTATCAAGAGTTACATCTAAAATAATTGCAAGTAAATTGAATGGTGATAGAGTGTTTTCAAGATTCCAGTACATTAGGCATATAAAAATAAATCTTGGAGTGATTATAGTCAATTAGTGTTAATACACGATTTTCTTTAATCCTTTAATCCACACACTCTAATTAACCATATATCAAGGAAATATGCTAACGATTTTCCCCGCAAGGTCATTTATAAACTGTTACCGAGAAAGCAGAGACAATAAATCATTATCGAAACAAAGCATATACTGTTTCATTCTACCAGTAACTATCCAAATAATGCACATGCGGTTTCATTCTACCAGTAACTATCGAAACAACGCACATATTTTTTTTCTTTCTACCAGTAACTACTGAACAGTACACATATTTTTAAATTATACCAGTAACTATCGAAACAATACATATGTTTTTAATTCTATCAGTAACTATCGAAAAGGTCACATACATTAATACTACAAATAAACACGGAAAAGAATATAGTCTTCATTGTTTAACTATTCAATATTGTAAATAGTACATATTAATTCCATGTATAACAAATGTCTACTTTTGCGGACGACGGACCAATGGAGGGACAACAATTCTTTAATGAACTTACTTGATTTCTGACTTAATTTCACTTAATTTAGTGTATTTGTTAAAAGGGAACCTGCTGTTAGTCTGGGAGCTGAAAGACACGAACCCAACTCGTACATTTCCAGAATCCACTGGAGCAAAATCTAACATTGAGGTAGCAAAATATTTCAATTCATTACTTTCAGCTTTATTCTCTGATGTATCCAACAAGATCATCAGATCTAAATTTCTATTTTTACATTCTGAAAAGAGATTATAAAACATTAGTATACATTGTATTAATAGGATGGCGCGCAGAGAGCGAGGGGCGGGGGAGGGGGCTGAAGGGTTGACGGGATCAGGCATCTATTTCATGGGATCATCTAATCAAAGAGTAAATATGAATGAAGGTTTTTTTTTAAATTTGATATTATCGCTTTTAAGGAGACCTACTTAATTTATTTATTCTATCTATTTTGACACATTTAAAGTTGTCTCCTTCCTCACAGTCCCGAGCCCTGTACTTGAGTCGTGGGGTTATACAATCAAGAGTTGGCCCAGGGCATCACCAAACCTCTGCACGTCACTGTATCTATCTTTAAATATTTCCCACGCTCATCCTTGCAGTGCAACATTTACAAACAAATTCAATCACGGTCGACAGTGTATGAAACGTCTATGTCTTTACTGGCTGGTTTAGGCTTACTATTGAATGTTGAGTGAGAGAGAGAGAGAGAGAGAGAGAGAGAGAAATGGGTTTAACGTCCACTCGACACAAACTAGGTCATTTCGGGACTAACATATGGTTTAATTTTATTTACATAATTCGCTTGCGCGTAGGGGTCTTTAGCAGTGGGAGGAAACCGGAAGACCCGGAGAAAACCCACGAGGTTGGACAGGCGACCCTACTCCTTGCCACGTACAACCGGGGATTCGAAACCACGCCAGTCGACTCAATGACAGATTTTATGATACAGCGCGCGCACGCTAACCATTCAGCCATCCAACCCCCCTGAGTGGCGTGTGGTTGAAGCGGGTCGATCCGGTTTTGTTATAATAACATTAATTTTTGTATTATTTTTTAACGGTTGGGATTTATTTATAAAACCAGCATGAACGTACCTTCCCCTATTTGAGCTTCTCCCAGTTCTGGAATGAAAAACACCAAAATATTGTTTAACAGGCATTATGTAAGAGATAAATGCTTTAAATATAAATTAGTCATTAGACATTATGTCAAGACCATAATTAATTAACTCTCGATATGACATCGGATGCCCCCGATTTTAAGTAGATAAGAACGATTCGGTCATTTAATGATTTAATTTAAAAATAGAGAAGCGAGGCTAAGACTCGAATGGTCAGTACGGTGGTTACTACCAATGCACACATCGTATCAAAACTAAAACTATTGATAACTTCGCTCAAAATAAAGTAATTCGAATTAATTTTTCAATATGTTCATTTTGCATTATCTATTTTTGAAATAGTATAGCTCTTTATCTATATCTTACATATTGCGTCTTTTAAATAACTGTAACATAATTTTGTGCATACGTCTATTATAATCATAATATGTACGTATGTAAGTGAATGGGACGAAATTAAATGGGTTTCACTTCCTGTTTTTATACGCCAACTGGACTAATGCAGTGTGCTATGGGATGGACAGGGACATTTGGGCGTACTTTTTTTTTATCGAATTATAACTATCAAGGTTTCTTTACGTGTACACCGGACCTCGGCTATTTCGCCCCAGTCCTGCACCTCTGATAAGGGGAATCCAGAGACTTCTGGTTAGTCAGCCAGTGCCTCATTCACTGAGCCAACGTGGCTCCCAAATTATTAATATTAACAACATTATATATCGAATCATAAATGTAATCTACAGACGGAAGAACGGATTGAGGCGACGGCAATATACGAACACTTTTAGATGTTGGCATAAAAAAAACAAAATGTTTTCGTGAGTAACTTAATACTTTTTCTTTTTACATTTTTACAAATTATGCTTCATAAATATTTGAAGAGTCATTAATTACGGTAGACCTAGATTTAGAGTTACCCCCCCCCCCACCATTGTACATAGTAATATGGATTAAATTACAGTAACTATATTCAATAAAGATAAATTAACATACCATTTTGACCGGATGTGAATGTGATTAGAAGGAGACATGCCGCTAGCCATATGCTGCGGTCAAACATCTTTACCTGAAAAATATAAAAATTAAATACAAGACAGGGTATGCTTGGTTGTATC